AGCTCCCGGGGAGGGGAGGGGAGGGGAACACGGTGGCATCGGTGGAGAGGCGGCGTCCGCTGAGTTGTACAGACCTGAGCTCTCCCCCCACCGCTGCAGCTCCTGCCCCACAGCAACAGGCAGCCCCGTCCTTGCTGCTGCGAGTCCTGCTGCGCCAAGCGATCGTCCCAGGCCAGGGAGCCACCTACATCTTGTCCCCCTGCAGCCCACCACAGCCCAAAGCCCCTTACCCGCTGCTTGGACACGTCCCCTCCTCTCACCCTCTTGTACAGACCTGAGCTCTCCCCCCACCGCTGCAGCTCCTGCCCCACAGCAACAGGCAGCCCCGTCCTTGCTGCTGCGAGTCCTGCTGCGCCAAGCGATCGTCCCAGGCCAGGGAGCCACCTACATCTTGTCCCCCTGCAGCCCACCACAGCCCAAAGCCCCTTACCCGCTGCTTGGACACGTCCCCTCCTCTCACCCTCCAGCGTGGTCCTTGCTTTCCAAACCTCGGGTCCTTCGCCACCGCTCCTCGCCTGCGCCCCACTCCCCCCGCCAGCCTCGCCTCGCTGCTGCCCCAGCACCTCCACCCTCTCCTTCCAACCCCCGAAAACTAGCACACTTTTCACAAGCCCAGGAGCACCCAGGCTCCGCCCCCCCGAAAGCGTCCGAATGTGCCTGCCCTGCCTGTGGGCGGGTGTGACACGTGGCCAAGAAAGGGTTAAGCATCCTGCAGGGTAAGTGACCCAAATTCAACCTTTAGGGGCATCCCTGTGGATGTTTGTGCTTTTGGGTGGCGCCGTTTCTACTGCTGAAGGTTAACAACGTAACCAAACGGTTCCTGTCCGTACTGGATGACAGGGGCGCCGCATCGGGCTGTCTCCGCAAAACCGAGGAGTCCTAGGGCATCTTATAGACTAAGATTTATTTGGCACAAGCTTTCGTGGGTCAAACCCACCTCTGCCGAAACAGGCTCCAGGCCTGGAAAGCTTGTGCTCAGCTCTGTTCATTTTCAGGGTGCCACGAGGCTTCTCTGTGTCGGCTACACCCTATGCCTCTCTGGGAAGCGTACAGCAAGTGGCCGGGGAAGGATGGCACTGTTGCGGATTGATCTGGGTAGCTAGTTACCAGTGACGCCTGGAAATAAGTCTCCAGAATGAAAAGAAACCTGGGACTTTATCTAGACCCTTGGGTCCTGGCTCGTTTTACCTCAGCTCCGCCTGAGGCTTTACCAGGGAAAGCGCTGAGTCATAAGAACATAAACATAAGGCGGCCACACTGGGTCAGACCAAAGGTCCTTCTAGCCCAGTATCCTGTCTGCCAACAGTGGCCAGCACCAAGTGCCCCAGAGAGGGTGGACTGAAGACAATGATCAAGCGATTTGTCTCCTGCCATCCCTCTCCAGCCTCTGACAAACAGAGGCCAAGGACACCATTTTATCCCCTGGCTAATAATGGCCGCTCTTATGTATGAATTGGCATATCTTCCCTGGCTTCAGTGAAACTCCTCTGGTTGATCTCAGCCGG